CCTGGGAATGTCTCCAGGTCCCCCATCGGAGTAATGTTAGGGTGTCCCTCTCTCCGTCTGCCTGACTCCGGAGTAACTCTGTCGATGGCGGACAACGAGAACTCATCGTTGTTCGCCATGGACGGCGATTAGATGAGCATGGAAGACAAGGTTTTATCTGCAAAATTCCCACAGACGGCGTCAATTGTACGGGGAGCAGATATTCAGGCAAGCCCGTACTCCCTTCTTCCAAGCTTCGCTTCTATCCGATCACCTGCGTACACAAAGGCGGTGAGCTACCCGGCGGTGTATGGCCGAAAAACTCCTCCGACGGTCAAGTTAGAACACACACCAGGGGATAGATAGAGAGAATGAAGAGAATTGTGTTTAAGTGTTTCTCTTACCAAATGTTCATCTGCCCCCATATGGGGGGCGCAGACGTGCTTATATACCTTCTGCGCCCCAAATCTACTCCCAGTGACCTCTCAACACATGGCACTGCTATCCCATCTGTCAGCATAAACCTTGCTAAGCACCACCTAACCCAACTGCCTGCCCATTCTCCTGGGAGCTCGGCAGCCGCGCAGTACCATCTCGGTCATCGTCTGCCATGCTGCGCTTCATGCCCAAGTACTCCAACAGCTAAGCTCAGATGAGGACCAGACTCGGCGGCATCTCGGCAAAGCCGAGCTCGGGACAACTCACGCTTGTCTACGGTCGACCTATTTGCCGAGCAAACAGGTACCTCGGTCCAACCTTGCCTTTCCTGGCATTGGACTTTTCACCTGACCGGCTTCGTAACCACGGATCCTTGCAGCTCGGTCAATCCACGCGCTGCCTTAACCGAGCAGCTTCCTTCAAGGCTGGGCCACACAACTTGGCCCAACACCCGTTCGGCCCAAATCTGTCCGGCCCAACTCTGTCCGACCCAAATCTGTCTGGCCCAATTCCATATCATTAATCTCCCTCTCGAATGGCATCAAAAGAAATTCTAGGTTTGGCTCAATTTGGTCACTCGGAAACTGTAGGAGAAGAAAAAAATTTAACGACTTTTTTGATGTGCGTTAATGGGTTTGTTGATACTGATGCGTTTAGAGAAGTTTTCACATTCTATTTGGAGTGCTAGAGCTGCATTCTTTTGTTTGAAAATTTAGATAGGTTTTTATTTCTAGATTTATATATGCGTTTTCCACATATAGTTGCTCTTGAAACTATTGATTCAATACAAATACCATGATTAAAGTTACCATGTATAGTTGATTTACACATAATAATACTTGAAGAGTTGGAGAAAGTTTAAAATAATTCTAAATTTTCTTAATCAACAAACTCCCTTATGTTAAACCATTGCAGTACTTGGTTTTTATAGAAAAACCAATCCCAAAATCCTAGGTATGTGCTTCTACATCAAGTGCTAGTATGAGAATAACAGAGTAATGGATGTTTCTTCTCCTGATGTGAGCTCACTGTTACAATATCACCTTTATGGTAATGGAAAAATTGGACTTGATGTGCATTCAAAGGGAACTCAAAATCAACTTCTTGAAAGACATGTCATTTTTTGGAGGGTAGCCTATTATATGCATTTGTGCTGCTTAGCTTTTTTCATTTGTAGTAACTATTTAAGCATCTTCTTTCCAATTTTTCAGAACTCAATTAATTAGCATTCTTTTGCTCATCTTATTGTCCATTTGTTACTCTAGGTGGTGGTTCACGTTTTTTATTCAATTTATGTTCATCTTTGTGTCACTGGATACCTTCTTAATCTTTTTCCACATTTGGTTTCTTTGCTTAAAACAATTCTGTTAGATAAGAAATAACAGATAAAAGAGAACGATGAAAAGTTGCCTGATTTTTGCAAATTCTATAAGAAGTGTCACAAGTCGAAGAAAACGAATGACTGGATTGATCCCCGATGCAATGACTTACATGTAAGAATTTAACAATAGATCAATTGTATGTAACAATAGTTAATACAATTGTTTATCTTATTCTAGTTTTCAATTTTTTTTTACAATGACAGAATGAGATGTTTATCTTATTCTGGATTTGGGATCTGCCCACGACCTCTTCTACCATATTCGAAGCTGTATCACGAGCACGTGATAAAGAGATGGAGACCTTTAGATTGGAGATCCGAAACATGTACACCTGATATGTTTTATTATTAAGATTTTATTTAATTTGGATTTTAATTTTTGGTTTGGATGGTATATGTATTTGTTGGATTATACAATGTTTATAGATTCTTATTTTCTTTGATATGTATGGTTAATAATTAAGTTTTGTATATAGTTGAAAATTGAATGCTACAAGTTGTGGATAAATATTTTTATTGAATGGTTGAGAATTGAATGAATGAATAAATGGATGAATAATTTTGTACATGTACAGGATATAGGTAGCGCAAAAAATATTACAGAACAAATTATAAAAATTAAATGAAATCTTTTGGCGACTAAACAAATATCACAGGTTGGCTTTTCACTACTAAAACTTTAGTCACTAATTGTAAAAAAGTGAGACTTTTGACTACTAAACATTTAGTCGCCAATTGTGAAAATGAATTTTTGGCCACTAAATTTTTAGTCGCCAATTCTCAAAAAGTAAAACTTTTGGCTACCAAATAGTTAGTCGCCAAACATACATGCTCAATTGGCTACTAAATAATTTAGTTGCTAAAAGTTAGTCGCCAAACATACATGCTCAATTGGCTACTAAATAATTTAGTTGCTAAAAGTAAAAATATATATATAATTTTAAAGTATATATATATATATATATGGTGATTAAAGTTTTAGTCGCCAATAAGTCACTTTTGGCTACTAAAAAAATTTTAGTCGCCGATTGTCTTCCCGATGAACTATTGGTGACCAAACGGGTGACCAAATATATTAGTCAACAAAAGTGATTGGCGACTAAAATAAGGCTTTTGGGCCCTGTTTGTTTGCAGGATATGGAGACTGGGATTGGATATGATATCCAATGGGACCCACATATCCCATGTTTGCAAATTTTGTTTGAAAGGGATATAATATACCTTCGGATTGTATATCTCCCAAATTTGGATGATATACAATCCCAGCCCCCCCTGTTATATCATATCCCTTCGTCTGGGATATGAGTTCAAAAGTCCAATATACCCTCGTCTATCTTATATACACAGACTAGGGCTCAGAAAATATATGCAGCTCATATACAGCCAGCAGAAGAGAAAAAGGCTCTGGTTTACATCGTGTAGATCTGCGAAATTTTGTGACTGATTTCCGTTGGCAAGACTTCATTCCGGTGATTATCATCTTTTCCCTCTACCTTGCTTTCTTTTTTTTTTTTTGATTTTCTGGTTTTAGGTTTTGTTTGTACGATTTCTAACAAAAATCGATTGGAATAAACCCACTGTTTTTTGGAACAAAAAATTGTAAAGAAGAGGGCCAGAAACTTGTGAAAGTTTCAATCTAAACTGATTTTTGGAACTTTGATTTCTAAACCCACTGATTTCTAAATTTATTTTTGGAACTTTGATTTCTAAACCCACTGATTTCTAAATTTATTTTTGGAACTTTGATTTCTAAACCCACTGATTTCTAAATTTATTTTTGGAACTTTGATTTCTAAACCCACTGATTTCTAAATTTATTTTTGGAACTTTGATTTCTAAACCCACTGAGACAACAGAAATTTTTTAAACTGATTTGTAAACCCATTGATTAGGAACTTTTCAAACTTTTTGGCTCTTTTTCGAATAAACCCACTGTTTTTTGGAATTTTTTGTTCAATCTAAAGAGGGCTTTGTTTGTTTTGTAATCAAATTCGAGAGCTTTGTTTGTTTTGTAAACCCACTGAGATAACAGAAGAGGGCTTTGTTTGTTTTGCTATCAAATTCGATTCAATTAGTAAAAACCTTGTCTCTGTTTCATTGTTTTATATGAACCAGATTTATATCTCTGTTTTATTTATTTATTTATTTTTTTGGGGCTTTGATTCAAGCAATAAAAATTTATTTGTTTTGTATGTAAAGCCTAGGAATTTGATTGAATCAAACTCTTGACATTAAAAAAAATAAAAATAAATAAATAATCTATGAAGAGTTTGATTTTTTTACATAATTAGATTTTTATATATTGGAAAAGATAGTTTAAAGATAATCTGATTTTATATCCAGATTTTATATAATGAAGTTAGTTTACATAATCAGATTTAGTTTACATAATTAGTTTATATCCAGATTATAAAAATAAATAGTTTATATCCAGATCATAAAAATAAATAAAGTTTACATAATCAGATTTTATTATTTTATTATATCCAGTGAGTTGGGAAAGTTAGTTTACATAATAAGTTTACATAATAAATAATCTGATTTTATATATTGGGAAAGTTAGTTTACATAATAAGTTTACATAATAAATAATCTGATTTTATATATTGGGAAAGTTAGTTTACATAATAAGTTTACATAATAAATAATCTGATTTTATATATTGGGAAAGTTAGTTTACATAATAAGTTTACATAATAAATAATCTGATTTTATATATTGGGAAAGTTAGTTTACATAATAAGTTTACATAATAAATAATCTGATTTTATATATTGGGAAAGTTAGTTTACATAATAAGTTTACATAATAAATAATCTGATTTTATATATTGGGAAAGTTAGTTTACATAATAAGTTTACATAATAAATAATCTGATTTTATATATTGGGAAAGTTAGTTTACATAATAAGTTTACATAATAAATAATCTGATTTTATATATTGGGAAAGTTAGTTTACATAATAAGTTTACATAATAAATAATCTGATTTTATATATTGGGAAAGTTAGTTTACATAATAAGTTTACATAATAAATAATCTGATTTTATATATTGGGAAAGTTAGTTTACATAATAAGTTTACATAATAAATAATCTGATTTTATATATTGGGAAAGTTAGTTTACATAATAAGTTTACATAATAAATAATCTGATTTTATATATTGGGAATTAGAGGAAAAGGTTGCTATGTTCTTGACTGTGCTTGGGCACCACCATAAAAATCGAAATGTCAAATTCAATTTTATGAGGTCTGGTCAAATAGTTAGTAAGTATTTCAATGATGTCCTTAAGGCTGTGCTTCGACTGCAAGGTGTCTTACTAAAGACACCTGAGCCAATAACTGCTGGGTGCACAGATGATAGGTGGAGGTGGTTTCAGGTAAATGCTAGTTTTAGTAATTCTTCATGTTTGATAAAAGTTATAATATTCATAATTACAATTTAATAAGTAATAATTTATTTTTGGTAATTTTTGGTAGAATTGTCTTGGTGCACTTGATGGCACCTATGTTAGAGTGCTAGCTCCTGCAGTAGATAAAGCAAGGTATAGATCAAGAAAGGGTGAAATTGCGACTAATGTCTTGGGTGTTTGCTCCCATGACATGCAGTTCATATATGTCTTACCTGGATGGGAAGGTTCCGCTTCAGATTCTAGAGTACTTAGAGATGCCATAAGTAGACCAAATGGGTTGAGAGTGCCAACGGGTACAACTGCATTTCACAATATCTTTACTATGTATAACCTTTGGACTTGTACTTAAATTATGTGATTATGTAATTATATAATCCTACATTATTACAGGTTCTTACTATCTAGTTGATGTGGGCTATACTAATGGGGAGGGCTTTTTAGCACCTTATAGAGGACAACGTTACCACTTGTCCACTTGGAGGGAAGGGGGTGCCCCAACTAATGCAGAGGAGTTCTTCAATATGAAGCACTCCGCGGCTCGTAACATAATAGAGAGATGTTTTGGTCTTCTGAAGCTTAGATGGGCAATATTGAGAACATATTCCTATTTTCCAATCAAGACCCAATGTCGAATTATCACAGCTTGTTGTCTTCTACACAATCTCATCAAACGTGAGATGCCTATGGATCCATTGGAGGTAGACTTAGATGACACATTGCCAAATAATCAAGAAACAGGGAACGAGTACATTGACACAATTGAGGGATCTGACCAATGGAGTAATTTGAGGGACACTCTAGCTAACCAAATGTATAATGAGTGGTTAGCTAATAGGATGTAAAATTAAGTACTATTTTCATTGGATGTAATGTTTTTTAATACTTATGTTGTGTAGTGAGTTGGAGACTTGTAACTTAATAGGATGATGTAGACATGTAACTTATTTTATGTTTCAGTTATTTGTTGAAGACATAACTTAATAGGAGTGTTTGTTTGGTTGTCTTAATAAAATTATTGTTCTGTTAAAAATGGTTGCATGTTAGGTATGGATGACACAACTGCTACTAGTGGATGTCGAAAAAAGGGTAAGGGAAAGGCAACTGCTTCCTCATCAAGAGGTCGTAGAGTGTGGACCCCGAAAAAGTGTGATGTGTTGATCCGAGCCATGAGGGATCTGTTCAATGAAAAATGGAAAGCTGACAATGGTCAGTTTAGGTGTGGATTTTACTCTGAATTGGAGAAGCTTATCATATTGGCTTTTCCTGGAACTGATCTTCGTGCATCCCCTCATATCGAGTCAAAGATCAAATTTTGGAGAAGACAATACAATTTGCTTACTGACATGCTTCGCTTGAGTGGCTTTGGGTGGGATGACTCTGAGAAGATGATTTTGGTCGACAGTGACGAAGTTTGGCAAAACTATGTCAAGGTAAAAAACTTACCTTAACCATTTTGCATTATTTAACCATTTTGTATTATTTATTAACTAGAAATATAAATTTCCAAAAAATATTGTTTTGTAGAAGGAGCCAGATGCCAAGGGCATGAGAAATGTACCTTTTATTTACTACGAGGACTGGGTAATTCTCTTTGGCAAGGATAGAGCCACTGGAGTCTTGGCTGAAGGACCTGCTGACATGGTTGATGCCTTAGAAAAAGAGGACCAAACTACTGAGGAGTGTTACACTCCAATTGTTGATCTGCCTGATTGTTCCTTATCAGCATCTGGGACTCCATGCAACCAAGGTGGCTCAGGCACAACTTCTAAGAAAAGAGCTAGGGAAGCTGAAGGTATTGCAAAGGGTCTTGTTGATATGGCTGTTGAGTTTGGTTCCTTCTTCAAGAAAACCAACACTACCATGGAAGAAATTGCTCATAGGATTGGGTATGCCCAAGACTTGTCTAAAGCTAGGAAGCTGGTTAATGGGGAACTAGCCAAGTTGCGACTGAACACAAATGACAGGTTGAGAGCAGCTACCCTTATTGTGAAGGATGCTGAAAGGGTTGATTTGTTCTTTAGCTTGCCTAAAGAAGAAAAAATGGAATGGGTATGTTTGTTGTTGGCCGGGTGTGTTTAAGTGTGTTTGCTGTAGGCTAATGACATATATCTATCTATATATTATAATATTAGTATTGCTATTCCTCCTCAGGCACATGTGTAGTGCCTATTTTGCATAGTTATTAGGAGGATTAGAAATATTTTGACAGACTAACTGGTTTACATCCCCTAGAAATGGCTTTTGTACCTAGTTTCAATCTAATTGTTGGGGTTGTAAGTAAGCTGAAGTATGCTTAATATTAGTATTGCTTTATTTTGTTGGAATGATGCTTAATATATTAAGTTGAAGGTTATCTATTGTAAAAAAATGTTATCATTTACTTAGAATGAATGAAGGTTATTTTTAATCATAATGGTTTTGATTATTTTATAAGAATAATGATGTGTGATGAATGAATGAATAAAGATGTTATTTTTTTTCATTCAATGATTATTTTGTAAGATAATTTTTTTTAGAATGAATATTAGTTTTTTTTGGGGGGGTAAAATTATTGAATTTAATATAATATAAAATTTTTTATCAGTGGACATTAGTTTAATATAATTTTTTTTTGTTTTGAAATATTATTGAATTTAATACGAATATTTAATTTGTTCAAATAAAAAATAATATGAATTTTTAATTTGTTGATTTACATTAGTTTTTCCTAATTTGAACAATTTGGTTTTGATGGACATAAGGGCAATATGGGTATTTAAAATATATTATGAGGGTAATTTTGGAAATTACTTGTTTATATCCCACAATATATTTTATAAAACAAACATGGATAACATATATCCGGTCTTATATACCAAGTCAACAAATATGATTTGGGGGATATTCTATCCAATACATATATCCTATTCATTACATATCCTGACTATATCCCACATCATATTATATCCTCTATTTTATATCCGGTGAAACAAACGGAGCCTTGGTGACTAAAATTTTAGTCACCAAAAGTGAAATTTCTTGTAATGTATTTTTTTAGTACTTTGATTTTGTTTTAGGTTTTCAAATCATCAACCTGATAGGATTAGGTTGGTCCCTGAACAAACACTAAACCCATATATATATATATATATATAATTTTATTTATATTAACATAATTTCACCTAATTATTCTATTACAATGAAGTTGATTGCACTATGCTATTCATAATTGTTGGTTATTTTATTCCTTATTTGTGTTATATTTAAATGTTAAAGATTTATCTATTATTGATTGAATTTATTTTTTGTATAATAAAACTATGGTTCCAATTGCATTGGTTTAGTTTTGGTGTATGATTGGTTTGGTTTTAGATCCAAAAACTTAAAATCAGTCATAATTGAGTTGATTGTAAATTTAGTGCAACCCAAATTAAACCGACCCATGCACCCCCAGCTTGTTACATGTGCATAAAGAAACAAACACATAATGCACATTCACATTTATAATTACGAATAAGTGTTTAATTCTTTCTGTGCACTTAAACTTTTTGAGAGAAAATTGAAAAAAGGGGGAAGTAAAAAAATAATTATAAATTAATAAAAGTACAAGTGATTTATACACTAGATTTGTGCAAATAAATGTTGTATTTTCATGACTTTGTAATTAATTTTTCAACTTTCCATGTTTTTGATATTTCTCCAAATTTTATATGCAACTATTTTTAACAATTTTCAATTATAAGATTTTGTTACATTTTTCACTATTAATAGTTTCACATAATTTTTTTGAAAATTTATGTGGTAATCTTTGGACAAATTCACATGATGTCCTACCTAATTTTTACTGGTTAAAGTTATGAGTCATGACACTTTTTGTTAGAATTTTAGAGTATAATTTGACAAGTATTAAGTAATAAATGGTGTAAAATAATATTTCAATACTATCAAATAATCACTCGTCCCAGTGTACTTGCCAAAATGTGGACTACCAAAAAATATTGAGGTATATTTTGGCAATTGGGTTAAAAGCCAACTTTTTGACTTTTTAATTTTTTTGGATCATATTATCTCTCTATTTTTTTATACATTAAAAAAAAAAAGTTAATTTTAACCTACTTTCCAAAACAAGTGAATCTTATGACTTTTAACTAATCAAAAATAAGTTGGGGTGCTATGTAAATTGATTAATCTTATAATCCCAAATATTTTGGATATTATGATTGTGTAGTGTATGATTCTAAGTGCTCGTTTGACATATTACATTTGGGTTATAATAGTCATAAAAAGATAAAATAGTTTAAAAAATCAGTAAGACAAAATATCACATTCAAATTATAATCATTTTATTTTTTTTCCCTTGAAGGTCAAAAAAGTCAAAAAATTTCATTCCAAACTAGATTTTTTAATTTCAGACTAAAAAAATCAAAAAGTCAACACACATACCAAACCAACAATAAGTATAAAATGAATCTAACTTACAGAATAATGATTATAAATAAAATTGAGAGTAAAAATTCTAAAATTATATTACTGATGTAAATTTGTCCCAAGACCACGACAATTTTTTTTCCAAAATGTGGCAGGACTTCATTGGTTTGTTTGCAAACGAAAGCAATAGAGTAGCAATTGACGTCAGATCTGTGCCGCATCGACGCACACGATTGCGGCACGTAATGGGGAGAAAACGAAGCATAACTACACTAACCTCCTTTTTAGCTTAAAGGATCCGAAACTAAAAGAGATGATATAATAAAGATGCAAAGATAAATAATCAATTTATTTGATTTGAGTTTTTTGAATTCACTTTTTAAAAAATTTACAAACAGAGATATGGAAGTGGTGACAATAATGATGATATTAGTGGCGGTGGCCATGACAATAGTGATATGGTAGTCAAGTGATGTGATGGTGACAGTTATAGTATAGTAACATTAATAAAATTCAAGTTATATAATATTTTTGTTTTTTAAAAGTGAAGAACATAATTTGACCCAATAAACTTGTTTTTCGATCATTTATTTTTTCTTATACCAAACATCAAAAAAGATAGAAAAATATTTTAAAAAATATTTTCCGGCTAAATAAACAAAGCAGGAGTGTCTTAGAAGATAATCTTTCCCCAATTTATTTTTAAAAGAGTGGTGATTTTTAATCTGAAACCAACTACTATGTTCAAATTGAATTGCACAGTGCAATCCATCATAGTACTACCCAATACAAACAAAACATGTTAGATTTCAAATTACAAACAATTCTTCTTTCTAAAATTGAGAAGGTTAATCTCTCTTCAAGTTTGAAAACATATATTGAGTCTTACAAACTTAGCATATTTATATTAAGTTCCTATAAAGTTTTAATTCACATTTCATTAATAATTTATTAGTCATATAGATGGGGAAAAAATGATATTATCATCTATTTTACATTGAAATGTATATTTATCCTTATTTATTCATGTGTCTATAAACTATCTACAATGATTCCAGTCGCTTTAGTTCTACTCAAAGAAAAGTCAGTGTAATTATGTTGAACTTATAAGATTTATTGCAATTTTTTTAAATCTCCAGAATTGTCAGCATAGTTTACTCATTAAATAAATATTTGTAATGGTTCTACAACCTTCAAAAGATAAATTTACTTTGATAATGAAGCTAGATTGATTGCCTGGATGGCCCTCCAATTGAATTTGAATTCTAATAATGTAGGCATGAATGATCATGCTTGAGAGAATGTGTTATGTTTTATTCCGGGAAAAATTGTTGTCATTCTTGTTGTGTATCATTTTCATTGTTGATTTTTTTTTTTCTCTAATTTCTTTTGTCGTGTTTTTTAAAATAAAATCATGGAAATTTTGAATACTTCTCACAGTAATTTCATAATTTTTGTATGAAAACAATCATAAAAAAAAAAAAAAAAAATTTAAAAAACTCTGAAAAGTGTTTCCTAAAAGAAAGGCATTTTCAGAAAATTTTCTCGAGATTAACTTTTTTGAAATAATTTGCCAAACATTATTTCGGTTTAATTTCTATTTGTTTATGCTTTCAAGAACAAAAAATTGACCAAATGAGCAAAAATTTCCTGATAAGTCAAAAGTAGAGAAATTATAGAACCGGAAAGTCAATGAATTTGAAGAAAGTTTGTTATGAGGGAATAAAATTTTAAAAATTTTAAACTAGTTTGAACTTAGGGGTAAGAAAATTCACCACTAATCTTTTATGCAACCGCAATAGTCCACGGGCACCCATTGTCTTATCATCCAGCTATGTATGTAAACACAAACGAAATGACTAGCAATAAAACAAGGCTTGTGGCCCACTAACCCTTCGTTTGGGAAGAGCTGTGGTTTGGCGCGAAAAAAAAAAAAAAAAAATTAATTGGCTTTTTGAAATTGAGATTTTTTAATTTGAGGCTAAAAGGTTCATTGGGTTGGCTTTTTGATTTTTTTTTTTAAATTTTTGTAAGAAAAAAAATGAAATGATTATGATTTGGATGCGACATTTTATCTTATTAACTTTTTAATCTATTTTGTCTTTTAGTAACTAATTTAGTCCCAACCTAACCCACATAGCCAAAAGAAACCTTAATTTAAACACAGAAATTTCATACATATTACATAAATAAGTGCAGAGAAATTTCATCAGTTGACTAATAGATAAAGAAAGTGATAGAGAAATTTGTGTTGTAAATAATATAATATTCCTCAAAAAGAAGAAAATATAAAAAAAGAAAGAAGGTTATTACATAGAAATTTCTTTCCCGTCAAGTGAGACTAGGACTTGTGTTTGGATTTGAAATGGATGTGAGATGCTTATGTGCACACAAAAATGGTGCATATATGATATACATTTTATAACATCATCTTCACAAAACATGTCTCGCCGAGCATCATCTTCATGAAACAATATTTCTTTCAAATATAAGAATATCCAAGAGCATGTCTCAACCCAAAAAAGGAGCTAAAGATCTATTAAAAAATATCTAAGTAGGATATAGGAATGAAATCAACAGTTAAAATTAAAAAAAAAAAAAAGGTGTGGGCGGGTTCTTGCTGGTGCAGGTTACCCCCTCAATCTGCTCGCAACTCGCAAATATGCTATATTCTAAACCGCATCCGCCCGCATTGTGTTTGCGAAATCGCTCATTTGTATGCGAGTTGGACGGGTTGGGCGGGTCAGATAAACCATTGCCCACCCCTAATCTAAACCGTTTATTTTACAAGGTTTACAATTTATATTATCCATGAAAAATATTAGTTCGATTCAACAATCATAACTTTTTCATTTTATTGCATTTGTTTTATTTGGAAAAAAAAAAAGATGACAAATATATATATATATATATATATTTGAAATAGATCATCCATTTTTTAAGAGATAAATGTAATAAAATAAAAATATTATAATAATTGGATCGCACTAAAGTTTTTCATGGATAATATACATTGTGAACTTTACAAAATAAACAATGAAAAATGATTTTGAGCCCTAAAAAAGCCCCCCTAATCCCCCTAATCCCCAAAACGACGTCGTTTTGAGGAACTTTTTTTTTTTTTTTTTTTTCGGAACTTTTTTTTTTTTTTTGCCTTGGTTTGAAAATTCGGGGGATTAGGGGGGGAGGGGAATTTCGGGGGACATAGCACGGCCCATAAACAATTCGAATTATCAAAACGAGACCTGTGCTGGGCCCTACAAACCCCTCAAGTTCTGTCATCTTAAGATGTCAATATGATAGAAACCCAACTAAAAAAAGAAAAAAGAAAAAAGAAAAAGCATTGCAATTGATTGTTTGGATCTTGAATTTAGTTTAGGAGATAATTTTTTCTCAAATTCAAGATTCAAACACATTTTAAATTTATCTCCATGGAAATGAGACTTTTCTTTCTTTGTTTTATGATCATTGTTTCTTAAATTTAGAGCTTGTTTAGAAATAATTAAAATGTCTAAATAAGTACAAAAATATAAAATATATTTTTAGTTAATAAGACATAATATCACATACAAATTATAATCATTTCACTTTTTCTTATAACCATCACATCGAAACCAAAAAAGGCAAAAGTTCTTCCCAAACAGAACTAATTTGACCTTACTAAATTAGCTAAAAAGTGAGACTTAGAGCATCAGTATCAAACTCGTTATTTATTTATGTTAGTTATTTTATACCCAAAAATTAGAAACGGCATCAAATCGTCGCTCCATCAAACTCGGCAAGGCAATCGGCAATTTTTATCAAACCCAAATCCCTCGCTACAAATAACCAGCGACAAAGGCTCGGCTATTGGACTGAAACCGGAAACTTTTGAGCAACGGTACAATCTCTCTCGTCCTCCTAAATTTGAAATAATCAAGACTTTGGGTAGATTTTACACAGAACTGTTGTCAATCTTCTCTCCATAAAAGGTTGCTTTGCTTCTTCGTTTACGTGTCTCTTGAATCTCCCAAAGCTCACTAATCACTGAAACTCCCTGTTTCAACCTCTCAACAGGCTTTCCAATTCTAGGTAATTCTCATACAAAAATCTCAATTAATTTTTGCATGGATTGATATATATATATATATATATATATGTATATGCGTATGGATATGCATATGTAAATGTGATAATTGATTAGCAAGGTTCAACATATATTAGCATCCACTTCGTATAATGGGACAACTGGTGAGGAAAGAAATTATCTAATTATCTTAATTTGTCACTTAATTCATAATTATCAGCGGGAAATAAAAGGTATTTTCTGTGGTTTCAGTGGTTTGGGACTTGAGGAAGCAAAAGCCGGTGATTAGGTAAATTGCTTTCAATACTGTGAAGCATGTTGGGTGCTTCTGCATGAGATAATCATAACATAATAACATAAGATTTTTGGTTTTTGTTGGCAGCTTTTCAGATTCAAATAGGAGGCGGTGCTCTGTTTTGCAATGGCATCCTGATGTGGCCACTCAACTTATTGTTGCTTCAGATGATGATAGTTCACCTGCTCTTTCTTTCAGCAAATATCAGAAACCTATAGAAAACTATTATATTGTTTGGAGATTTTGAGTAATTGATCAACTAATTGATATCTTTAATGACTGAAATGCTTAAAAAAGCAGAAGAATTGAAGTCCTGCATTACATTTGGCTTCCAAGCTTTGTACCAACTGTTCCTCTAAAACATTTTCTGATGCTTCATGGAAGTTTGTAATATTGTATAACTTTTTGAGTTACTTATTTGTTAGTATTTATTTTGATGACACATAAATTCGTTCTAATGAAATGAGATATTAGTATGAGCACTTTGTGTTTATTAGATTTAGCAGATGGTGTTGTTGCTAACAACTGAATGATGACTATGATGATAAGTCAAGCCTGTAGGGACAATTGGCTGATTGATTGTTTTTACCATTTGTAGCTGCTTGGAGAGTTTTTAGCTGTTAAATAATTTTGTAGAGGACTCATCTTATGCATTATATTAAATTTACACCCATTGTATTTTTATGTAATCGTTCATGAGACAGGCTTTGGTTGCAAATTTGCAATTGCAGGACATGCATCAGATCTTAAATTTGCAATTCAAGTTTATAGTCTCCTTATGTAAAAATTCTAAATAATGCTGACAGAAAAATTATGTAGTTATTAATGCTTGGAAAATTTCAAATTACAATCAAGACTAATGAGTTTTCATCATGTGACCACGAAATTTAAAATTACAAGTTGCTATGATTGACTATGTAGTTGCCACAAGTGCTCGACGAGGTCCGATTGTAGTTGAGAATGAGTTTCTCTATCTCTAATGCGATGATGGCGTCGAATGAATTCCATAAGTTCAGTTGTATGGTCATGTGAAACAGACACATGGGGATTTTCATCAATTTGTTCATAGTCGTAGTCTTCTGCTTCATTAACATCTCGCTCATCCTCAACAATCATGTTATGCAGTATTATGCATGCCTTCATAATGTTCTTAAGTGTTTCACGTTCCCAAGAACGTGCAGGTCCACGTACAATTGCAAATCGTGCTTGAAGAACTCCAAAAGCACGTTCTACATCTTTCCTTGCCGACTCTTGAGCTGTAGCAAAATGCTTTCTCTTATTTCCTTGTGGAGATGGAATTGTTTTGACAAATGTTGACCACTGTGGGTATATACCATCTGCTAGATAGTATCCCATTGTATAATCATTACCATTGATTGAGTAATTGACAGAAGGAGTACGCCCCTCAGCAAGCTTGGTAAATACAGAAGATCGTTCTAACACGTTGATGTCATTATGAGACCCCGGTAACCCAAAAAATGCATGCCATATCCAAAGATCATATGATGCTACTGCTTCTAAAATAATTGTAGGTTCATTAATATGACCAGAATACATACCTTTCCATGCAGTTGGACAATTCTTCCATTTCCAATGCATACAATCAATGCTCCCCAACATCCCAGGGAATCCACGACTTTGGCCAATTGTTAGCAATCTAACAATGTCATTTTCGTTTGGTGATCTCAAATACTCATCAGTAAAAAATTGTAACCACTGCTTTAACAAATTTTTTTAAACTTTTCATTGCAGTGCTTTCTCCAATCCTTACATATTCATCCATAAAATCAGCCGCTACTCCATAAGCGAGCATTCTAAGTGCAGCAGTCATCTTTTGATAGGAGGACAAACCAAGCACTCGAGCACCATTTCTTTTTTGAACAAAATATGGTTCATGAGCTTTTAGTGTAGAATGAATACGGAAAAAAAGAGAACGATTCATTCGAAACCTTCTTCGAAATACATTGGGAGGATATGTTGGTGATTCAGCAAAATAGTCGAGAAAAAGCCTTTGGTGGCCTTCTAAAGTATTACGCCTAATGAATAGACGACGTTGCATAGAACCACGACGTGATCTTGATTCTTCCTCCATTTTGAGTACTGCAACTATCTCTAACTCATCATCAGAGTCCGACTCATTAAGAATCATATTGTGTACAGAATTGCGATGCATAGTGAGAAAATAAACACTTAATGTTAAAGAAAACTGGATGAGGTGGATAAAAATTAAAGAGGAATGATCTTATTTATATTGAAAAAATATTACCGTTAGAAAAGTATCTATTTCAAAAATATAACCGTTGCAAATATATTCATTTGAAAATATGACCATTATAGAAGTTTCTATTTAAAAAATATAGCCGTTGCAAAAGTATCTATTTGAAAATATGACCGTTATTACAAAAGTTTCTATTTAAAAAATATGACCGTTAAGTGTCCATTTGAAAAATATAATTTTTTTGAAAAAATAAATAAATAATAAATAAGGAATATTTAAATTGAATGGAGAAAGAAATGGAGAGTTTGTTGGAGCATGACAAGAAAAATCAGGTTAGCTAAAATAGAAAAATAGGTTTTTAGCTACAATTTGACTAAACATTTAGCTACTTTGATAAAGATGCTCTTATGAATTGATTTTGTTGTATTTTTAATTTTATAAGTTTTAATTCATTAATTATTAATGTTTGAGCATTTTAGAAAATAGGGAAAAGAGAGCCTAAGATAAATATTTACAAAATGGGGAAAAAAATGCTCAAAAATAAATTTTTGAAGAAAAAAGTTCAATCCGCAAACCGCCCGCACATCTGCGAACCCTATCTGCACAAACCGCACTGCGACAGTTGCGGATTGACTTTTTCCTATACCGCATAGATGTGGGTGGGTCCAAACCGATCCGTAAACCGTCCAAATCCGAACCGTGGACATCCCTAATTTAAATTATTGAAACGAGACTCGTGTTGGGCCCTACAGACCTTTCAAGTTATGTCATGTTGAGATCCCAACATGAGCGAAGGCCAACCCTTTTTGTTCTCTTATATAATTTGATATTGTCAGAGCAACTTCAATAATTACTATTTATTGTCTAATTGTTAAAATTTAAGGTATAATACAAATATACCCTTTGAGATTTGTTAAAAATACAAATTACTTCATGTGTTTTTGAAAATTACAAATATCCCTTGCTAGATTTTTTTTTTATTTAACAAAATTAATAGAAAAATGAAATTTCTAACTATTCTCCTATACAACAATAAAATTACCCAAATTGTTAATTAAAATATATTTTTGACATCATTAAATTTTTTAATTGACTTGATAATTTATTAATAAAATGAGGCATTTGTTATGTGAGTAGAAACTTAAAGGAATGAAATGTAATTTTCAAAATCATCGAAGGCAATTCGTATTTTAAGCATATCTTAGAGAGTATATTTATAATTTACTCTAAAATTTAATATGATGGACACAAAAAATACACGTGTTATATATTTATAGGACGGGAGTATCGTGTTAAATTTTAATATGATAAATATTTGATTATTGACTTTTGCAATTTACTATATTGCTCATAAAAATGTAATGTCATGTATTTTTTTTATTTATATAAATTAAATTAATATAAAAATAAAATCAATATATTTTTTAAAAATACTAGCCATCATATTAAAATAGTTTAATTCAAAATACAATTTGAAGAGATTCTACCAAACAAATACTAATTATCAAATTTAATTTAATTAAAGGGTAAATTACATTGATCTTCTTTCACAGTTTTGGCATAACTACACTAACCTCCTTTTTAGCTTAAAGGATCCGAAACTAAAAGAGATGATATAATAAAGATGCAAAGATAAATAATCAATTTATTTGATTTGAGTTTTTTGAATTCACTTTTTAAAAAATTTACAAACAGAGATATGGAAGTGGTGACAATAATGATAATATTTGTGGCGGTGGCCATGACAATAGTGATATGGTAGTCAAGTGATGTGATGGTAACAGTTATAGTGTAGTAACATTAATAAAATTCAGGTTATATAATATTTTTGTTTTTTAAAAGTGAAGAACCTAATTTGACCCAATAAACTTGTTTTTCGATCATTTATTTTTTCTTATACCAAACATCAAAAAAGATAGAAAAATATTTTAAAAAATATTTTCCGGCTAAATAAACAAAGCAGTAGTGTCTTAAAAAGATAATCTTTCCCCAATTTATTTTTAAAAGAGTGGTGATTTTTAATCTGAAACCAACTACTATGTTCAAATTGAATTGCACAGTGCAATCCATCATAGTACTACCCAATACAAACAAAACATGTTAGATTTCAAATTACAAACAATTCTTCTTTCTAAAATTGAGAAGGTTAATCTCTCTTCAAGTTTGAAAACATATATTGAGTCTTACAAACTTAGCATATTTATATTAAGTTCCTATAAAGTTTTAATTCACATTTCATTAATAATTTGTTAGTCATATAGATGGGGAAAAAATGATATTATCATCTATTTTACATTGAAATGTATATTTATCCTTATTTATTCATGTGTCTACAAACTATCTACAATGATTCCAGTCGCTTTAATTCTACTCAAAGAAAAGTCAGTGTAATTATGTTGAACTTATAAGATTTATTGCAATTTTTTTAAATCTCCAGAATTGTCAGCATAGTTTACTCATTAAATAAATATTTGTAATGGTTCTACAACCTTCAAAAGATAAATTTACTTTGATAATGAAGCTAGATTGATTGGCTGGATGGCCCTCCAATTGAATTTGAATTCTAATAATGTAGGTATGAATGATCATGCTTCAGAGAATGTGTTTTGTTTTATTCCGGGAAAAATTGTAGTCATTCTTGTTGTGTATCATTTTCATTGATGATTTTTTTTTCTCTAATTTCTTTTGTCGTATTTTTAAAAATAAAATCATGGAAATTTTGAATACTTCTCACATTAATTTCATAATTTTTGTACGAAAACAATCATAAAAAAAACAAAATTAAAAAACTCTGAAAAGTGTTTCCTAAAAGAAAGGCATTTTCAGAAAATTTTCTCGAGATTAACTTTTTTGAAATAATTTGCCAAACATTATTTCGGTTTTAATTTCTATTTGTTTATGCTTTCCTTTTGTCGTATTTTTAAAAATAAAATCATGGAAATTTTGAATACTTCTCACATTAATTTCATAATTTTTGTACGAAAACAATCATAAAAAAAACAAAATTAAAAAACTCTGAAAAGTGTTTCCTAAAAGAAAGGCATTTTCAGAAAATTTTCTTGAGATTAACTTTTTTGAAATAATTTGCCAAACATTATTTCGGTTTAATTTCTATTTGTTTATGCTTTCAAGAACAAAAAATTGACCAAATGAGCATAAATTTCCTGATAAGTCAAAAGTAGAGAAATTATAGAACAGGAAAGTCAATGAATTTGAAGAAAGTTTGTTATGAGAGAATAAAATTTTTAAAATTTTAAACTAGTTTGAATTTAGAGGTAAGAAAATTCACCACTAATCTTTTATGCAACCGCAATAGTCCACGGGCACCCATTGTCTTATCATCCAGCTATGTATGTAAACACAAAGGAAATGACTAGCAATAAAACAAAGCTTGTGGCCCACTAACCCTTCGTTTGGGAAGAGCTGTGGTTTGGCGCGAAAAAAAAAAAAATTAATTGGCTTTTTGAAATTGAGATTTTTTAATTTGAGGCTAAAAGGTTCATTGGTTTGGCTTTTGATTTTTTTATTTTTTATTTTTATGAGAGAAAAAATAAAATGATTATAATTTGGATGCGATATTTTATTTTATTAACTTTTTAGTCTATTTTGCCTTTTAGTAACTAATTTAGTCCCAACCTAACCCACATAGCCAAAAGAAACCTTAATTTAAGTCTTACTTTTTAGCTAATTTAGTCAGGTCAAATTAGTTCTGTTTGGGAAGAACTTTTGCCTTTTTTGGTTTCGATGTGACGGTTATAAGAGAAAAAGTGAAATGATTATAGTTTGTATGTGATATTATGTCTTATTAACTAAAAATACATTTTATCTTTTTGTACTTATTTAGACATTTTAATTATTTCCAAACAAGCTCTAAATTTAAGAAACAATGATCATAAAACAAAGAAAGAAAAGTCTCATTTCCATGGAGATAAATTTAAAATGTGTTTGAATCTTGAATTTGAGAAAAAATTATCTCCTAAACTAAATTCAAGATCCAAACAATCAATTGCAATGCTTTTTCTTTTTTCTTTTTTCTTTTTTTAGTTGGGTTTCTATCATATTGACATCTTAAGATGACAGAACTTGAGGGGTTTGTAGGGCCCAACACAGGTCTCGTTTTGATAATTCGAATTGTTTATGGGCCGTGCTATGTCCCCCGAAATTCCCCCCCCCCCCTAATCCCCCGAATTTTCAAACCAAGGCAAAAAAAAAAAAAAAAAAAGTTCCTCAAAACGACGTCGTTTTGGGGATTAGGGGGATTAGGGGGGCTTTTTTAGGGCTCAAAATCATTTTTCATTGTTTATTTTGTAAAGTTCACAATGTATATTATCCATGAAAAACTTTAGTGCGATCCAATTATTATAATATTTTTATTTTATTACATTTATCTCTTAAAAAATGGATGATCTATTTCAAATATATATATATATATATATATATATATTTGTCATCTTTTTTTTGGATTAGCGGTGGGCAATGGTTTATTCGACCCGCCCAACCCGCCCAACTCGCATACAAATGGGCGATTTTGCAAACACAATGCGGGCGGATGCGATTTGGAATATGACATATTTGTGAGTTGCGGGCAGATTGAGGGGGTAACCCGCACCAGCAAGAACCCGCCCATACCTTCTCTTTCTTTCTTTTTTTTAATTTTAACCGTCGATTTCATTCCTATATCCTACTTAGATATTTTTTAATAGATCTTTAGCTCCTTTTTTGAGTTGAGACATGCGCTTGGATATTCTTATATTTGAAAGAAATATTGTTTCATGAAGATGATGCTCGGTGAGACATACTTTGTGAAGATGTTATAAAATGCATATCATATATGCACCCTTTTTACCACTAGGGTTGGTGGCCTGGTGGAGGATGCGGCATGTTTCACAGCAAAGAGCCCAAGTTTGATTCCTGGGAGGGGGCTGTGTGTTATCTCTTCGGAGAGCTCGCCCTTTACTCCCCTCGTTCCTAGCATCTGCTGCGGCGTGTGTCTGCCCTCCATTGGTGCCCTGGTGGTGAGTCCCTCACTTGGTGGGGATTAATTCCTAGCTGGCAACCGGTTACCCCGGGACTAGGGCCCAACGGGGCCATGATGACACCACAGAGCCCTTTTCTTCTGGTTCAAAATATATATATATATATATATATGCACCCTTTTTGTGTGCACATAAGCATCTCACATCCATTACAAATCCAAACACAAGTCTTAGTCTCACATGACGGGAAAGAAATTTTTATGTAATAACCTTCTTTCTTTTTTTATATTTTTTTCTTTTTGAGGAATATTATATTATTTACAACACAAATTTCTTTATCACTTTCTTTATCTATTAGTCAACTGATGAAATTTCTCTACACTTATTTATGTAATATGTATGAAATTTCTGTGTTATGAATTGATTTTGTTGTATTTTTAATTTTATAAGTTTTAATTCATTAATTATTAATGTTGGAGCATTTTAGAAAATAGGGAAAAGAGAGCCTAAGATAAATATTTACAAAATGGGAAAAAAAATGCTCAAAAATAAATTTTTGAAGAAAAAAGTCCAATCCGCAAACCGCCCGCACATCTGCGAACCCTATCTGCACAAACTGCATTGCGGTGGTTGCGGATTGACTTTTTTCCAAACCGCATAGATGCGGGTGGGTCCAAACCGACCCGTAAACCGTCCAAATCCGAACCGTGGACATCCCTAATTTAAATTATTGAAACGAGACTCGTGTTGGGCCCTATAGACCTTTCAAGTTATGTCATGTTGAGATCCCAACGTGAGCGAAGGCAAACCCTTTTTGTTTTCTTATATAATTTGATATTGTCAGAGCAACTTCAATAATTACTATTTGTTGTCTAATTGTTAAAATTTAAGGTGTAATACAAATATGCCCTTTGAGATTTGTTAAAAATATGAATTACTTCATGTGTTTTTAAAAATTACAAATATCCCTTGCTAGATTTTTTTTATTTAACAAAATTAATAGAAAAATAAAATTTCTAACTATTCTCCTATACAACAATAAAATTACCCAAATTGTTAATTAAAATATATTTTTGACATCATTAAATTTTTTAATTGACTTGATAATTTATTAATAAAATGAGGCATTTGTTATGTGATTAGAAACTTAAAGGAATGAAATGTAATTTTCAAAATCATCGAAGGCAATTCGTATTTTAAGCATATCTCAGAGAGTATATTTATAATTTACTCTAAAATTTAATATGATGGACACAAAAAATACACGTGTTATATATTGTATAGGACGAGAGTATCGTGTTAAATTTTAATATGATAAATATTTGATTATTGACTTTTGCAATTTACTATATTGCTCATAAAAATGTAATGTCATGTATTTTTTTTATTTATATAAATTAAATTAATATAAAAATAAAATCAATATATTTTTTAAAAATACTGGCCATCATATTAAAATAGTTTAATTCAAAATACAATTTGAAGAGATTCTACCAAACAAATACTAATTATCAAATTTAATTTAATTGAAGGGTAAATTACATTAATCTTCTTTCACAGTTTTAGCATAACTACACTAACCTTCTTTTTAGCTTAAAGGATCCGGAATTAAAGGAGATGATATAATAAAGATGCAAAGATAAATAAGATAAAATATATATTTCAGCGTAAAATAAATGATATCATTTTTTCATACATATGACTAACGAACAATTCACGAAAAAAAGGCACAAATGTTATTGAATTTAAAACTTAAGGGGATCCAATGTAATTATGCCAAACTTATGTGACTTACTATATTTTCTCTAAATTTCAAGGGAAGTCTATGTTATTTACCCTAATTTTAATATAAGTTTTGAATTAGACTAACAAATTTAAATTTAAAATATATATATATATATATATATTAATTCTTGAATTAAAAATTGTAAATTAAAAGTTTAATTTAATGGCATTGTATATGCATTTCAAAATTTTAACAGCTTCAAAACAACCATCTTACCAAACCATTTATGGTCAAGATTTTCCATAAATGCTCAATCTTGCAACAATTTTAAATGCTCAAATCTTTGAGCAACAAATTTATGGTCAAAAGGAACAAAACTTGGAGACAACGTGAACTGCACACGATGCAATCCGAATTATGCTTTAACCTTCCTGGCAAATCTGCACAAGATCCTTCTAATTGCAAACAATTTAAAATAAATAAATAAATAAAATTCCCAATCACGACTTAAATTGCGTTTATGAAAGTGTAAAACTTGCATCACATTTAAAAACACAAGCACTTGAAACAAAACAAAACAAAAAAAAAAAAAATACACGCCTAACCGTTCATCTTTCTTGCGTGCTACGAGATTTTCTAAAACACCATGGGAAGGGAAAGATGACAGATGAAGAGATTCGATACATCAGCGCATGAGGCACAATGTTACAACATTACATAGTTATATCTAAGATCATGCAAGGAAAAAAAAAACAATAATACAACATCAAGTACAAGTCTCCTAAAGCTCCGAGACTAATATAAACAACACTGGCATACAGATTTGTTTTTTCCAACTCAGAATGGGAAGCAAACAATGCTACAAGACTTGAATGAAGCTTGTTTGATTTGTTTCATTGGCCTCTTATCAGATTTCATGAGGGCACTTTGAAGTGAAACAGCCAGGAGATGACAAAGGCGAAGACCATACAAGCCAGTAGGAAGTTGAGAAACCGATGGCCCTGCCAGAAGTTTCGGGTCTCTGATAGGGGTGCTGGTGTCAATGCTGCTGCAGCTGCACTGTCATTTGCTTCATTCCATTGTTCCATCAACTCGGTTTCGTTTGCACCAACAACGTTGCGTGCAGTTGATCCGCATATCTCACAGGTTCTGCATTTCAAAAGGAAAAACGAGGAAGATTAATGTAATTTAAAGAACAAGTATAACAGAGAAAGGTTGCAGTTGGTGTAAAACTATTTGCACAGAAACCATTCTCAGAATGTTTCAGAGACAAGACACAAGAGAGTGGATCCCACATAAAGCATGCCTGCAACGAGTCTGAAGAGACAAGTCTCCGATGAAAAAACAGTCTCTGTAAAACCCACATTTCTTGCAGAACAGAGAAAAGTTAAGGACCTCAGATGTCGCCAAGAAGTCATTGAACTTAAAATAATAAAAAATAGAAAAGCCTCCTACAGAGAGATGACAACATCTTCCAGAAAGGGTATTTACCACTCTAAAGTCAAAGTGCAATTTATGATTTTGGTGACGTTTACCTAGCCTTGTTTCGTTTAACCTATTTAACGTCAGCTACATGGAACCTCCTCCAGTTTGTTCTATGTTACATGCTTCCCACATGAATTTAAAAACAAATATATAATTCATGAATTAAAACAAATACACAATAGATTATATTGCTAAAGGAGGATAACAGGATAAGAGCACACAAATTAATCCAAATAAATTAACACTCATTTATGACCCAAATACTTGCCTCAATTCTCCAAGCTACAATACATTTCTGATCAAATAGAATAAAACAACAATATCATATGAACCTTCTCAGAAAAAAATTGACATGAGAATTGAAGCAAAGAAAGCGCTAGTGAACAAATGATAAGTTCTCGCCACAACACTGTTCACAACTTCACATCCATTGGGGGTCACTCCAGCTACCCTAACCTTCCGAGTGGATCACCCAAAGGTTTTTATAATAACATAAAATAAATTAAATTGTAAACTCCCATTAGACCAAGGACTTCACTGAGTGAAAAACAAAAGATCTTTATTGCTTTTCATTGGCTTATGTTTGGCAAAGCCACTTATCTCCATATTACTTCAATCCTGTACAATAAAAAAGGCAGCAATAAGCCATTTTTCAAACCAACTCAATGTTGGTGTTCCTGTGAACCAGATAGGAGAATAAGGGGGACTTTGCTCGAATCACTTTTTCAGATTCCCAAACAAGACAAGAAAATAGTAAAAAGACAAGAAGGATTGAAACATAAAAATCAAGAAGAAATACAGCAATTATATATATATATACAAAAAATAAGAAGAAGAAGAAAGAAAAATACTTAATTCAAACAGTCTATCCCAGAAAAAGAAACTGAATCAGGCATTTCTTGAGAAAATTATTTTATTAGTGGTGATTGGAGAAGAAACCCTAGCACTCTAGTAGTATCACTGCAATGAAGCCAAGTCTAATACTTATCTGAGATCCACATAGCATTCAAGATCGGCTTGAACTCAAGATGATCCTAGCAATTCCAATTCAGACCCAACTAAAAGAGGTTCAGAAGAGGCTCTGCTTGGCTAGAATACTAAGATGATCGATAGATTTGAGAAACAAGAAGATAGGTCAATCGATAGATAAGGAAGAGGAAATGCTCACCATGACCAATGCACTAAAAATTGGAAAACAATAATAAGCACTAAAGAAAAAGAGAAAAAGAAAAAAAAAAAAAGATGTATATCTTACACCTGGAACTCCATATGTCGGGCTTAGTGTTTTATCTTTTACACAGCAGGTCACAAACCTGGATAAGGAGGAGGTCTGTGTGCTAGGTAGTTTGACAGCTAGCGCGTAAAAATCTCTTGTCCCTTATGAACATGAATTCTATGCCTAGACCCTACTATTTTGAATAAAACAATGAATATGAAACATTTTGAGAGTGAAACCCACCATGATCTTGATTTCAAAGTCCATCTTGGGTATGGATTGGAGTCGGAGGATGATGATTAATATTGGACAAAAAGGAAAGGAAATTTTAATGGCCACCACAATACATGGAACAAAGGTAGATCACAGGATAAAAGAATAGAGACCAATCAGAGCAGAGAGAGGAGGGGGTGACAATATGGCAGGTGAAGTCACCACCTGAAAAGAACTACTATAGTCAAGCAAAACTAGGGTTGTTTGGAATGTCCTAAATAAGTGCACTTTTTGACTTTTTGGACTAAAAAGTTGAGGAAAAAAATATGGTTGTTTGGCACTTTTTAACTTTTTACGAAAAAATGTGTATTAAAAAATTGTATAAATTAGTGTATAGGAGAAGCTTTTTAGCGAGTAGGCAGTACGGTGGGCAGTACGGTGGCAACATTGTGCATAGTGTATAGGAGATGCTTGCCTCCTTTTCGGGCATTGAATTGGACGGTTTTATTCGTCCTATGGGGGCCCACCATGGGTCCCGGTTTGCTAATCAGAACCATTCAATGTGTAGAACTCGTCGAGTACTATATGTTTGTAAAAAATCGCGTTGATCGGATATCGATAGCTATATGATCGGATTAGTTTTTTTGTTAACCGTTAACTATAATACCATTCATTTTTTTATACAAAACTGATTTGATCATGTAGTTAGCGATATCCGATCAACGTAATTTTTTACAAGCATATAGTACTCGACGAGTTCTACACATTAAACGGTTCAAATTATCAAAACAGGCCGAACAACAGCTTCTTGTTTGTGCACCCGTTTGTGCACCCGCCTGTTCCCTTTGTCCAACCAAAGTCAACTAAAGTACAACTCACTAGTACAACTCATGTGAGAAGTGAGTTGTGTTTTTTTTTGTGTAAAATTAATTTTTTTATATTCTTTTTGGGTGAGTAGTGATAACTTTTTAACTCTTTTAATAACTTTTGGCTTTTTGGCTTTTTTGAAGGATGCCAAACCATCCCTAAATCATTTCTATCCATGTCCGATGGCTCTAGCTCTAAATCTATTTTACTTGCTCCAATGGAACCAATGTTGAAAAGATTGAAAATATCAAGCAACCATAGCCACTAGTCGACTCATTGAAAAGTTAAGCATTAATAATCCAAATGCATATTGGAGCAAGAACCTCTGCCAGGTGCAGGCTAGCTTCCATACTATTTGGTCACAAACTGATGCAGTACAGAAGACGAACCATTGAATGGCAGGTCAGTTAGAGTTCCCGTTATTCTTTTCTTATTCAAAGGATCACATCCATGCCATTTCTTGACTCCCACTATGTGTAAGGTGAGGTGACTGAGTTTCAAACCTCTCCCTTTGATTACATTATCAGATCATTGGGCTTTATGAGGAGTGTTCTTTTAACTTTATGTGATATAAAATATTTATCAAAATTCTTCTAACAAACCTCAATGGTTTTTTTAACGTGAGCTGTTATTGAGTTTCAAGAACAAGTACAAAATTCCAAGGGCATAGCATATGAACCAAAAAACAAACAAGCAAAATACAAATACGACACCGCAGTAGGCTTGTCTGTGCTTCCTACCTTGCAACCCTATTCTAGCCTGTAACTAAAACACCCCAACTTTCATATAAGAAAGCCTTAAGCCTCCATGGACTGACATATGCTCAATCATCTGCTAAGCACATACCCCACTACATACGAGCTCCAAAATCATGCTCAAGCTTGACTTGTGAACGGAAAATGAATCCAAACAATCCGAGTGGTGAGTCAAGGGCCTCAAGGCCAAGTTGTCCATGAACAACTGGATTAATTTGCAACCTTATCTGATGGTAGAGAATTCTGACTCAAACCCCCCAAACAAGGGTTTATCATGAAGGGTCTAGGCAAGGAATTTCTAACCCTGGTAATCAATTAACTATAGTATAACAAACACCTACAACAGGAACAATGAGTTAAGGTTTTCTGAATGGCGGCCTCTTTAAAACTCAAGTCAATGGACTGCATGTTCTTTTGCAATTCTAATATTGTATATCGAAGGTAATTTAACATAAACAATCAATAGTATCTATTAATACTCTAAAAATGTACTTGCCTAGAGACCACTAAAAATGCTGCACAAATTTTTTAGAAGTAGAAAAGTTCACACTTCTACAATTTCCAGATGGCTTGAGATACTAAAATAATGGTCAAGAAAGTTCATAAACAAAAACCTAAAATAGATAGAATTTAACATTAAACAAAAACCTGAAAATGACATTATAAATAGAGATTAATTTGAGCAGCAGGAAAATCAAATCTGATTTAGTAATTTTTCACTTTCAACCTTAGTTAGAAATAATGATGACAACATGTTCAAAATTCTTACCCTAATTACATTGTAGGCAGAGTTTTCTGAACCATGTAAATTTCGGTTTCTTCTCATGGTGATGATGATTCAATCCCAATATTTATTTTTGGCTCCACTATTTATTTATTTATTTGGTCATTACATTAACATATTTCAATTCTCAGCTCATCAGAGCAGAACCTGAGCCAAAAATCAGAGTAGGATTTGCACTGTTGATCCACATAACAAGAACAAAGTACTTGGGCAATAATAACATACTGCATGAAGAAACACACGCAGAATAATAATCTACTCTCCTGAGTCTTGATCATATAACAATATGTACATAATCAGCTGAAAAACATTTCAGAACCAATTTTATAGGTACATATTAAGGCTTGGTTTGGATTGGTATATATGGGCACATGGAGCTTTTGGTATTTTGATGCAAGTAGAAGTGTAAAATCATCAAATTTACTTACCAAACAAAAACATCAACTTTATTTACCCATAAAGTATGAAAAGTAGATTATTCCTGAACTAAACAACAAAAAAGAAAAAAGGAAAAGACTTTAGAGAGAGTGGAGTATAAAAGGTAAAAAAGTGTTGGTTATATGTGCTTTTTATGCATATGCATATTAGCATAAGAACTAGTAAAATCTGTAAAATTAGGAGAATGATTGTTTCAGATTCAATATGAACAAGAAAAGTACTTGCCACAATGTTACAGCATTAACAGAATTATCCTAAAGTCTAATGCAGATAAGAAGATCTAACAATTCAAGATGAGATATCCATATGCTCACTATATTTATATTATACAGGATAGATATTATGCATTCTTCAAGCAGCATGCCTAACAATAGAATCAGGTCATCCAAAGGAAACATTAGTACATCATTCACCTCCTGGATCCTTTCCATCCTTTTGTTGGACCCATATGGAAACAATACATGAATAAAAAAACTGACCGACCAATAGCCCATGTCTAGATTAAAAGAATAATAGGATGGCAATCAGTTCTTGGCTACTCCAAATAACTGCCTTAGGAAATACCATGTTCCTGACATAAACTGAGGTTTGACAATCAGCAAACCAATTATCAACATAAAGAATATATGCAAGTGCCAAATATTTAACTGACATAAGGAATACATCAAAGTCAAAACCTAAGAAAAGGAACCAAACAAATACACAAAATTAAACCCAAAATACATAAGAGTAGAAAGAATGTACACATAAGCACAATAGACCCACCTCTCATGAAAATAATGAGTATATCAATGAGGATGCTTTTAGTAGGCCCCGTTACATTGACATGTAGATTTTTAGTTATGTGTCGGTAGACAAACTCAATCAAGAAATGGAGAAAATATTTTATTTAATAGGTAGAAAATGCGACCAAGCTAAAGTAGTATACCTTCCACTCATTAATGGTTATATGGTAAATATGGGACCGAGAAGCCACTTTGTGTTTGGCCCGAAGTGTTGAGCATTCAGCCACATCAAACTCTACTCCCACTTTTTATCACATAAAAATAATAAGTGGAAGGATACATCACTTCAGTGCGGCCACATGACATACACACTACATAAAATACTTTCTCCCAGGTAACGAGTGAGAAGCAAGCAAATTCCAACAAAACTACGAATGGGAAAGAATCAGCCACCAGCTGGCCATACAACCAGGAAACATTACATGGTTGCATTCTTCTTTTGCTTTAATTTCTTGATTCTCTTCATTTTAATATAAAAACTGCTTTTAAACCTTTTCCTTTTCTTTCTTTTCTACATCAAAGTAGTGCCTTTTATTCTCTTTTAAAGGTTTCACCGTCAAGGGTCATACATTGACACATCCCTGTGGCTGCATTGCCCAAATAAGCTTTTAAGTTCAGATACTACACAAAAGAACAAATTACATCAAACCCCCCAAAAAACAACCTAGAACTATAGCATATAATCATAACCTCAAAATACAGCCAAAACCCCCCCCAAAAAAAAAATGCAAAACCAAATTCACATAAGAAAACATTTCATGAAATCAAATCAACATCATGTTAAGAAATAAAAACAAAAACATTCAATGGTTTGGATACCTACTTGTTGCCCTTAATCTTGAACCAAGCCTCAGCACAATGTCTGTGGGCTGCAGCTAAATCATCTTTACAAGAGCAACCCAATTCAATAGGGATTCCATTAGATTCTTGGTTAGTTGCATCCAAGCTCAGATGACAAATCCTACAATCCCTCTCAGATTTTGCCAAATGTACCTTAACCTGTGGGACCCCAGCTTCCAGATCCAACTCTACCGAACACTCCGACGCAGAGGATTCCCTCCTCACACCCACAATCTCAGCACCAGAGAGGCTTGACGACGCGCCGGCGGTGGAGCTAAGATCGTCACTTCCTCCGTCGCTCAAGGCGGCGCCACCAGCACCACCGGCGTCTTCCAAATCAACATGGGACTTGTCTACAGTTTCCATTTGCAAGACCCAGAGACAGATTCCTCATGTAAAGGCAATGCGACACTGAGATCATTAATACCCCCACAAAATTTGAAGGTTTTTGAGGGCTCTTCAATCTCTGAAAATGGAGGAAAGAGAAATCACAGTAACCCCCCTCTTTCTCTCTCTCTCTGTCTCTCTCTATGCATACATATCCATATACTTTACATAAGACTACTGTTGTGCTGTAGTAGGTGTCTTCTCTCGCTATGGAGAGAGAAGAATAAGAGAGAGATCCAAAATGGGTATGAAAAAATAAAAAAAATAAAAAAATAACCCAAGGGGTTGTAGCAGGGTAAGCCTTGCGGTTTAAGCACCAACGTCACAAGTTAAATTTTTTTTTTAGGCTTATTTCTTGAGCGAAACATTATTGATCAGAAGGTTGAACTTCAAGTTGTCTGATCAGTACTTGGTGTGGGTTTAATAGTCACATAGACCTCAAGTTGTCTAGTCAGCACTTGGTGTGAGTTCAATACTCCCCGCTGTGCGAGTCCTGACTTAAGCGGAACTTGTCTTGGGAGGTCGGGACAAGTTCCCAGATTATAGTAAAAAAAAAAAAAAAGGCATGAAAAAAAAATGCAGTTATATATATATATATATATGAGAGGATTTCCGTCAGCCCAAAATAAATTTGGTTTGAGTTTTTTAGATTAAAAGTTTTTTGAAAACTCAATTTTTTAGTTTTCGTATTTTTTTGTTTTTAGTGGATATTTTTAAAATTTTAAACATTTTTTTACCTTTGTAGATGTACTTTATTTAGATGTATCTAAAAAGTAAAAAAATTGTGAAAAAATATTTTAAAATTTTAATAAATACATAAAAATATAAAAAATGTACTGAATTCTCGTATTTTTTTTTATATTTTTGGTATTTAGTGAATTTTTAAAAGATTTTTTTCACAAATTTTTTACTTTTTAGGTATATTTATGTTAGGTATGTCTAAAAAGTAAAAAAAATTACTTAAAATATTAAAAAAATTCAGTAAAAACAAAAAAAAAACGAAAAATAAGAAGTAGAATTTTCTGAATAGTGTTTTTGGAAAAACACAACCAACAAGCTGAATGGTTTTTTTAGGTCCGGGGGTTCACACGATACTGTTTTAATAATCTGAATTATTTATTTTGTTAGATATTTCGTATATTTTATTAATATAAAAAATAAATTAATTTAAAAATTATAATTTGTTTAATTTATTATATTTTTTATTGAAAGAATGAACGATATTTGTGTTTTCAAAAAATAAAGCATGCATTTTATTGATGATAAAATTAATAAATTGAACAAGTTACAGTTATCAGATTGATTTAATTTTTTTGTATGAATGAAATACACAAAATGTCTGATAAAATGAACCGTTCAGATCATCAAAACTAAACCCATGATGTATACCACGAACTCAAACAATTCTCTCCGATCTAAATTTTGGATTTGAGAGAATCTCTCTCTCTCTCTATGTATATATATATATATATATATATATTTATTTATTTATGAAAACAAGCATCTTGTGACTAAAAGGGAAAAATATGTATAATTTTAATATTTTGAGTTATAATTAAAATATTAAAAAAAAAGAATAGTAAATTACAAATAGATCTCTTGAGGGTTGGTTAAAATACGAATCGCCCCCTATACTTTTGGAAATTACATTCCACCCCGGAAGTTTCTAAATTTATAACAAATCGCCCATTTTATTAATAAATCATCAAGTCAATTAACAATTTTTAATGATGTTAGAAATATGTTTCAATTAATAATTTAAGTAATTTTATTATTGTATAAGAGATCAATTATGAATTTCATTTTTTTAGTTAATTCTGTTAAATAAAAAATACTAACAAGGAAATATTTGTAACTTTTCAAACCACAAAGAACAATATGTACTTTAAGCAAATCTCAGGGGATGTATTTGTAATTTACCCTTCAAAAAAAATCATAATACAATATAACATAAGGTGTAATTAAAGAATTTATAAATTATAACTAAAATAATGTCATCATTAAATAAAAAAATTAATCATAATTTAAACAATATATAATATATTTTTTAGAATTTCTCTACATAAGTAAGTGTGAGGAGAGAGAGAGAGAGAGAGAGGATCTGGTATCTCTGATAGATTTTATATACAAATCTATACGCTTACCAGTAATATGTTCGATTTATTTTACTTTAGTACTTAAACTTTTTACAAATTAATTGATTAGACTCCTGTCATCATCTTTCGTCCACAATTAGATGGAATGTGCTGATGTAGGGAGCAAATTAATTTTTAAAGTATAGTTTGGAGGGCAAATTAATTTTTAAAGTATAATTTAGGGGATAAAATGAAATTTTAAATGGCACATCAGCACATTCTATCCAATTGTAGAAGAAATTTGATGGCAGGGGTTTAATTGATCAATTTGTGAAAAGTTCAGGTACTAAATTAAAATAAATCGAAGTATGGGAGTCAACGTGAAAAACGCATGATAATTTGGGGGGCAAAATGATATTTCCTCCTTTAGTTATGTGTTTTTGGCCACGTTTGTTTTTTGGATCAGGTTGGATAAGATTATCAATGAGTGGATAATTAGTAAAGAAATTGTTAATGTGAGAATTATTACTGAAGAAATTAAGTAAAAGTATGTTTATTGATAGTATGAGATATGGTTAGTGATGAGATTGTTAAATTATTTTTATATAAAATAAATAAATAAATTATTTTTACATTAAAAAAATTAAAACAAATATTAAAATAAATAGGTGCACTTGGTAAAAAAATTTAAATTTAAAAAATATTTTTTTTTATATAAAATAGACTCAATCTCCTTACTATTTTCTTAATCCTACCCAAAATCTAACCAAACTAATCTCCCTATTGAGAGGGTATTACTAAGTCCTTTGGACTATCAATCCACCCTCTCATTTCACTATCAAACATGTTGTGGGTGGGACCTATAGCCATAGTGGCTAATCCAACCGCTCAAACCACGAAACAAACATAACCTTTGTGTATTTGATTTTGGTTATGACCTGCGGTTTGTTATGAGAGGTTAATTTTAGTTATCATCCATGATATTTGATTTGTTGTTTAAATATAATTCAATTTTTTTTATTATAATTATTACAACATTAAATTATGTTATTTATAATAATTAAATTCATAAATAACATAATTGGATGCAACACACTTATAATATTTCCCATGGGTCAAAAGCCAAATAATTCTACTTCATTACTAGGTCTATGAAAGAACTTAGAAAACAATTACAATCTTTAATTTGTATCTAATCTATCATTAAGATTATAACACTCTAGGTCTTCTTTGGGTATTAGAGCCAAGTTGGTTTAGAGTTGATTTTATTTATTTCCTTATAACCTGTGTGGCACCCAAGTCGTAAAAGTCTGTAAGTCGTTAGGTCATTAGGCAAAAAGTTGTTGTTAACCACTATTTGAGTTTAAGCAGAATCACCTATTAACAACTACAGTTATCATGGTAAGAATATTTAAATCATTTTCTAATCTAATTTTTGGTAAAGGTTTTTCTACAAAACCTATTATTATAAATCAAAGTGATTTAAAAACAGAGAAGATTGAAGAGTGTCTCAAAAATTAGAAGTTACCTACCAAAGATATTGACTGCTTATATGATAAAAAATTTAAACTTAAACAAACATACAAAATCAAAACAGTTGAACAAATTTTACCTATCACCTAATACAATCAAAATTTTCAATTTTTAGATCGTGACACAATTCTTAAATTCCAGGAAAAAAAAATTAATTAATTAATTAATTTTTTATTTCTTCGTCTTGTCTAGGTTGGTGTTAAACCCATGACACATCTACATCTTAACAAATTTGTAATATGTACCCTCCGAGATATGAGACACCATGATTATGATGATTCATTACTAGGTGTTATTAAATCTAGTCTTGCACGTGGATCAATTTACTTTGAATGTTTTCCAAATTTCAAAGTCTCTTTAGTTGATCCTACAATCCTCAAAACTCTTACTCTTAATATCCAAACCAAACGTTATACGATGTATTCTCCTTCTTTTAATATTACGTACGGTCTATTATTGTGTTTATCTTAAAACAATGACTACTTCATGTCCTGGATTTAAATATATAGCTTCAAATCCCAAACAATCAACCATTTTATTCCATGCTCATCAAGAAAATTCTGAGATTATGGTTCCTCAAGTCATCACTTGGCAAGAAGTTTTACAAGCCGATGCAGAAGATAATGGCAATACATGGGTTATTCCCAATGATGTCCCAGCGTTCATCTCTCAACCTAAAACAATCCAAATTCTATACTTTAGAATCCACATGGATCTGTTGTTATTCGTTTCCAACGATCCAGATCTGTCCGTACTCAATCTCGTGCATCCTCACAACCGCCTTCTATAAGATATCATACTCCGCCTCAAACCCCTCAATATCATACTCATCATTCAATAGACTTACCATTACATTCAACCCGAAGACAACCAAATCAAGTCCCACTCACAAATTATGTTGATTTTAGTCATTTTCAAGATATTGACTTCAACATAGATTCCCTATCAATTAATGTTGTGGAAAATGATTTCACAATTAATCATGACTTACTTTCCCAAAAAGATTTATTTTAAGAAAAATCATACCATTGAACAACAACTTATTCGATCTGAGTATTTTCTCACTTTACAACAATTACAACATCATGTACCTTTTTTCCATTGGTATTTTAACTAATATTGTCCTCAACATCAAATAATGGTTCTCTAAAACCTCCTATTAACACATTTCAATGTCATACAGAAAAATTGGCCTGTTCTTTGTGGTGAGCCTCTTCAATCCGTACATCCTCCAAGCAAAACTTACACTCTTCGAGGTGCTAGTTTCTCTTTTTATGCTAAACCATGTAACCAACCACCTATGGGGGGAACCCAATCCTTCAAAACAACTCCATATACAAGTTTTGAGATAGGACAAGTCTGTGAACAATTAAACAACACAAATATACACCTTTAAACAATTGGTGAACAAACAACTCGGATTGAAGAACGAGCTGACAAACTTTACCTCTCAGTACCCCTAATCAAACACGCCAACCTTCTCTAATAAAAAATTTGCCATATCGTGCTTATTCTTTTACCAATCCTTCCGATGAGTTCTTAGCTGAACTAAATAAATGAAAAAAAACACTCACTAAAGTCCTTAATGACACTGAACCTATCCATTACCCCACTGTTGATACAACTACTTCTCCGAA